AAAACAGAAGTGAAACCAGAAAAAACAACAACAAAAAACCAGAAAAATACACAATAAAAATATTCGCTCCGGAGAATTCGGGCAACACAGAACAGACCCAGCTACTGCACTCACACACTTTCGACTATAGCCTCGGCAGAAGCACAACCAACCCAGTCTTTCCAAGCACGATGTTTGGGAGGAGACCTACTTGCTTGTGGAAGGCTTCCCCACAAGCTGGAGCGAGGTACCAGCGGGCGGGAAGTGCTGGTCTGATATGCATGTCACTGAATGCAAGGCTCAGCTGCGTGCCACCTTCCTCGCCTTTGGTGGAGTCGAAAGACTAACGTATGTGCCAGACTCAAGGCGCCTTTCGCTTTTTTCCATCAGGCTTGTCCCCAGTGCAAGAGACAGCGCCAGGTATGGAAGGGTTGCCCGTCTGGTCTTGAAGGAATTCCGGCAAGAGCGGGCATTCCTGTAGTAGGCAGCTTCAAGCTTCACCTGCCAGGAGCCGGAGGAAATGTCACGAGTTGTGAAAGAGCTCCATGGCACCACGGTCGGCGATGGGGATGTCGTAGAGGAGATAGGGGCTAACTCCCAGCAGTTCATGTCTCCGGTCACAGTGGCCAGGCACCCTGTTCCAGCCTCTGGCTTGCAGGAGTGCGTGTTGAACTGCAAAGTTACCAGTGCGGCGGTGCAAAAGAAGGAGGAGGCAGGATGGCGACTTTGCACAGGGAGCGCTTAATGCTGCAGGATTAAGTGCTGGGTTGGCTCATGCTGATCTCAACATGGGCATCTTGTCAGGAAGCGCGGAAGCGCAGAGAGGAGAAAGAAGCTCGAAAGTTGCCGCTGGATGCAATGAGTATGCTTGCATTCTGAGGAGCTGGTTTTGATATCCTAACATAATCTGAAGCTGATCGTGTCCATGTTCAACCGTTCCCTCTTGTTTTCATGAGGTATCGTGCTGATGTGCGAAAGAGGCGCGAGGAAGCCCGCCGCGAAAAAGAGAAGGGGAAGGATGGAAATGAACTCGACGAAACACAACCCGAGGAGAAGGCCTGTTCACACGCGACACGATTTGATGGACGTCTGGGTCCTGACAGCAGGAGGATGAAGAAGAAGAAGAGGTCGAGGCAGAGTGGACCGTCACGTACTGTCACGGCGAGTTTCGAAATAATCCCCGGCGTGTAGTCGACTCTTTCCACGGGCAATGCTGACCTTTTCCTTCACCTTTTCCCCGACGCTGACCATAACCGAAGGAGCCGAAGCCCAAGAAAAAGCATGCTGCGAAGAAGGCATCAACTTGAAGATGATGCCATGAAGCGATTTTTGTTCGGCTCTCCCCGGGCCTGCACAGGTTGCAGCACGCTTCGAGGCCAAGATTTGGTCGCATGTTGCCATAGCGCAATATCTGAAGATGTCTGAAGAGTTGGCACCGCAGGCGGAGGAGCGCGAAAGAGAGGAACTGCGTCGCAAGCAGGAAGAAGAGGCCTGGGCCGCGACCAAGTCTTGGCTGGCATGGCTTCTCACTCGACGCTTGGCAGGCCGAGCAGAAAAAGGCTGAGGAGGAGGAGGCAGTTACGGAACGAGCCGGCTCCCGAGAACCGTGTCGTAGCTGCGGGTCCTGAGGCCAAGAAGGCAGCGGCTGCCGCTTATCAAGAGGAACTCAGACAGAAGGCCGGGCGAAACGTGGTGGACATGACGTCCTCTGTAAGTGATGGCGACGTGACGGCAGTGTGGCGAGGCGAAGGAGGCAGCTGAAAGGAGAGAGAAGGCAGGCGATGCAGGCGTCCAAGTGACGATCCCGCGAGCTGCCCTCGATGCCTGCCAGGAGCAGCGGGAGAGGGAGATGGAACGCCAAAAGCGAGAAGAGAAAAGGAGGCACTTCGGACCTGTTTGTTTTAGCATGGTCGTGCCGTTCATGTGGAGTTAGTGCTCACAATCACAAGGCTTTGGGAGCTGGACCGCATGAAGCGGGAGGAGGCGGAGACCTTGTGGACGCCAGTGAATCCGCCCAGTCCTGTGATTAGGGTGAGTGTGCATCAAGTTGTGACGACAGGAGCGTCAAAGGCGAGAAGAAAAGAGGAGGAAAGCAGAAGAGGAGCGGCTGCGGCGGGAAGAGGAGCACGCCCCGTTCAGTGCTGTCACTTAACTTTCTGAGCTTTCAAATTCGTAGTTCGAAGGGTAGCTGCAGGTATTGGCTTCGAGGGGTCGTGAAACGGCGTCGCGTAACGGATTACCGTTTCAGATCATCGCGCGTGCCGAAACGGATCAGAGGCTTTCGGGTTTATAGTTTATAGGCCCCGAGATCTGAGACGTCTTTGTTCGGGGTCTCCGATCCGGTGTGGGCATCGCGGCCTGATCACAAACGAGCTGATTAGTCCTCATTTCCGAAGGCCCAAGAAGCCGTGTGCTCAGGAGGAGAGGCAGAAGCGCGCGGAAGCGCGAGCCGAAGCCGAGAGAAAGCGGGAAGAGGACAGCCATTCGCAGACCGTCGCCGCCGTCGCATCGCTGTGGGCGCGGATCGGCCCAGGGTCCTTTGTTCCGGTTTAGGCAGGGTTCCCAAGCCCAAAATCTAGTATCGTGAGTGCTCACGACGTGTCGACACCAGTTCACATGCGCTGTCGCCAGGAGCGCCAGCGAAAAGAAGAAAAGATGCAGCTGAGCTGAACTGTTGTGAACCTGAAAGGGCCTCAATGTATGTTGCCCGCAGTCCAGTTGTGACACAGGCGAAAGTACGAGGAAAGTCGCATGAGACGCGAGGAGGTGCCTTAAAGATGCGTGCACGCGCTTGCGATGCCATGCGATGCCTTCCTTCTGCAGGTGCGAACACGGAATGAGATCCAGCGCGAGCTTTGGGAGGACACGAGTGGGACAGAGAGAGGCTTGCCTCAACTCCCCACCACAGCCCTGTCGAAAGAGGCTTTCCTCCCTCCAACAGGCGTGCTCGGCTGGGGTGCCCCCTCAAGACTGGAGAAAGAAAGAGAGAGACGCGCGGGGATGCGGCCAGATGGTTCCTCGGAAAGGGTCCGGGGTTGCGACACAGAAGCCGGAAGCCGACTGTGTGGTCGCTGCCGACTCAGCCGGAGACCCAAGGCCGTCCACCCACTAACACAGTGTGGGGGACGGGCGGGCCAATGGCCTGCGGGTCGCTTGACGACCCCTAGGCCCGGCAGCAAGAAAGAGCGAGGCAGGGGAGACATTGTGTGGTTCGGCGGGCCATTCTGAGGGTCGCACGTTGCCCCTAAGCCCTGCAGAAAGAGAAAGAGAGAGAGATAGCAAAGCAAAGCAAAGAGAGCCCAAGCCCAGGAGAGAGAGAGAGAGAGGGAGTTTTCTGTTTGGCTCAAGCCATTTTGGCTCAAGCCGTGAGCGGTTCAAGCCCGTGGGGAGGCCCTCCGTGAGCCCTCTCTCCTTACTACTTCTTAGCCCCCCACGGGACAACCATACTTTTCCCTTTCGCTCCGCCTTTTCTCTCAGTTTTCTTCCGCCGCATTGCAGAAGGGGGACTTCGGCTTCTTCGCGCTCTTCACCACCAAGGCTGCCCTCCGTGAGTACGGTGACTACGGAGCCCGGGGGTGACCGCAGCTGTCCTGCTCATCGGGGACTTTGCCTCCCACTTCCTGAAGGCATTCGGCGACACATCGCTTGGAGGACCACCGGGGTGCGTTTCTCGGCTACTTCTGCGGGTCGCTCAGTTTGACGCTGTTGTGCAACGTGACACTTTTTCCACGGCACCGAGAGTAATATCGTCACCTACAACATGGCCCCGAGACAGGGGGAAAGCCCCATAAACAACCAACGGCGGGGGAAAGAA